AAACTTTGATCCTTTCTCATCACTAATATGCATGAATTTTTTCACTAGCATGTTTGCTTCCTATGCTTTTACTACAAAAGTTTGTATCTACAGTCAGTATTTTATAAATAGAATATAGAAAAAGAATTGACAGCTTTCCATGGAAGTTTGGCTGTCGCTCCTTACCTAAGAACTAAGATTTGGAAACTGAAGAGCTGAAGAAGCAGCTTGTTTCTGCATGATCATTTTGTGAAACTCTTTTGAGAACTCAAGCTGACATGTTAACTCCAAAGGATCTCTAGAGTGAGTTCAATATGCTGCTTCGTTTGCCTTTTAATCTTTCCCATCAAGTTCAATTTAAAATATGTGTATATCTAGACTACTAGAATTCTTACTATATATTATTCATGAGTTAAGGATAACTTATTGGCATAGATTTTCATTAATTTAAAGGTGTTTAAAAGTGAAGAAATGTGCTCTAAAAAACTATAACTTAAGATGTCTAAAATAATTATGGATTGTTGAAACATAATTGAATTAAAAAGTCAATAAGGAGGGTCAGAGTGATAGTTCAGCAGGTAGGGCATTTGCCTTGTATGTGACCAACCCGGGTTTAAACCCTGGTACCCCATAAGGTCCCCCAGTACCACTAGGAGTAGTTCCTGAATGCAGAGACAGGAGTAACTCCTGAGCATTGCCGGATATCAGCCAAAAAGGAAAAAAAGAAGCTAATAACAATACACTTGCTTTATTTGCTTGTATGTACCATGTAGCACTATAGCACTGTCCTCCTGTTGTTCCTCCATTTGCTTCAGCGGGCACCAGTAATGTCTCACAACAAATTGTGAGACTTGTTGTTACTGTTTTTGGCATCTAGAATACACCATGGGGAGCTTGCCAGGCTTTGCTGTGCAGGCGAGATACTCTCAGTAGCTTGTCGGGCTCTCTGAGAGGGATGAAGGAATCGAACCCGGGTCTGCCAGGTGCAAGGCAAACACCCTACTCACTGTGCTATTAGATGACAAATATAGTCAAGAATTTTTAAGCATATCTTTCAGAAGATAGTTCTAGCTCTATTTCTTAATTAGGGTGTCCTGTGGTTTGTTTTGGTCAATGGAATGTAGTGAAAATGAGTTTTTCCCAGTCCCCAATGTAGGCCTCCACAGGCAGGGCATAACAAATGCCCAAATGCAACAAAAACTGTGAACTGGTCTTTTGTAGGAAGCTTATGGAGTGGGCACCTGGGAGAATTAGGATGGGGGAGCACTGTGATAATGGTGGAGGAAAGTGGCCCTCTGGGGGAGAGGGTGGGGCTAGGCTGTGTTATGCATGAAACACTATAATTAACAATATTATAAACCACGGTACCTAATGTTAAACAAAAAATGTTTTTTAAAAAGAGGTCTGGAGAGATAATACAACAGGTAAGGCACTTGCCTTATATTTGGTTGACTTGGACTCTAGCCTCAGTATCCCATATGGTCCCCTGAGCCCACCAGGTGTGATCCCTGAGTGCAGATCATGAAAAAGCTCTGAACACTGTTGGTTGTAGCCCCAAATAAACAAACAAAATTAAATAATAAAGCATTGACACATTGTGAGGATAAAAGAGCATTGTATACCTATTTTCACTCTTAAAACTCTGAGTTATCATGTAAATAAGCCCTGATTAGACCAGTTGTTCACACTCTCTCCATGGCCAACAGTAAGTAATCACAAGAAGCAGTGATGTTAAATTGATGAGCAGATCTTAGACACATGAGTGAACAACTAAGCTTATCTGATGAATCACACTGTTGAGCATTAACAAAGTTTCTGGCCAAAAGAGTCAAACTAAATAGTTACTAACTTGAAAGTTAGATTTACATACAATAAAAATGATGCACATACATACACATTGAGATTAGATATTTAAAACTATTAATGTTTTAGCTTTCTTGGATATAAAACTAGTTAACTTAAGATTTAATAGTTTTGTTGTTGTTCTAGCAAAATAGTAAGAACACTGACCTACGCTGGCAGTATATTGAATTGCTTCATGCAATTTTGATACTAGTTACCTTTCCTTTTAATTCTATGTAATAATGCTTTAAAACAATAGAATGACATCAAATTTAAAAAATAAACACTTTTATCACATTAAAAGTACCATTAAAAACAAACAAACAAACAAACAAACAAACAAAACCCTTCCTGAATGGGAGGAAATGTTTACACATCATACATTGCAAAAATATTGTAAAAAGAACCAACATACTTAAAGAACTTCTAAAACTCAACAGCAAAAATAACTCAAAAATATAAAAATAACAAAACTTCCCTATCAAAAACTGCAGAGAAAAGTTGAATGGCCATTTCTCCTAAGAAGATATATAGTTAGCAGAAGGCAGTTGGAAAAATTATTTATAACTTTATAATCATATAAATGCAAATAAAGAAGCAAAGAGATATCACTTCATAGCTGTGGGAATAGCCTGTATCAGAAACACCAGAAACAATGGTGCTGACAGGGATCTGGAAAAGAAATAATTCACATTCAACATCAGTGGGAATGTAAACTGGTGCAGTCTTTAGGAAAAACTCACCAAAAATTTCTCCAAAAGTTAAGAGTAGCAATGGAAAATATAATTCAGAAACTCCATGCCTAGTTGTCTGCCCCCCCCACACACAAGAAACTAGTTGTAAAAAGATATATGCATGCATATGTTATGTTCAGTGCAGCTCTATCTGTAATAGCCATGGGATAGAAACAACCTACAAGCCTAGTGACAGATAATGGATGAAGAAAATGTGGAATATATGTGTGTATATGTCTGTATATATATTTATATATCTCACATATGTGTGTACATATATATTAGAAGGATTATCCAGCCGTTAGGAAAAATAATTCTTACCTTGTGATACAAATATGAATGAAACTGAATGGGGTCATGCAAACAAAGTCAGAAGGGAAAAGATAAATATCAGATGATCTAACTTGAATGTGACATATAAAGAAAAACAACAAAGGAATGGGAGTAAATATTTTAAGAGTTCAATGAAAACAACATCTTATATTCTGACTACAGAAATAAGTTTACTACAGTCTAGAGTGGGAAGAATGGGCTGGGGTCAAATGTTCTAATAAACTGCAGTGGAGATATTTTGGTATTTTCATCGCGTGGGAACACTGTATCCTAAAACAAAGTTTTATTCCCTTGTCAACCTGTTGCCTCAATAAAAATAAATGATGAAAACTAAAATAAGTTTGCCAGAGGGGGAATACTTTTAATAGCAGTAAAAGCACACTAATCCCCTCATATTATGACCACTATCATAAGAGGGAATAACTGCCATAAAAATAATTCTGTTGGACACAAAAAACATCCTGAATGTTTTAGGAGCAGTAAAAGCAAATGAAGCACTAACTCCCTTTTCTACACTCCTCTTTGTTCTTTCTGAAGTATAATAAAAGAAAAAAAGAAACGTGAAAAGTTTCCAAAGTAAACTGAATGGAAGTTAATTTTTGTGCTATCTCAATCAATCCAAGTGCTTCTTCCTCCCCCAAATAATGATAACAACAAACATTGTTTACAAACTTAACAGTTATGATCTATCTTATCTTGACCAAGAGATAAGGTATGGGTCTGGTGAGAAGTAGCTTGAAACTACTTTCTGTACAGAGATTCAAGTTAACTTATTTTTAAAAAAACATTCTTGTTATTTAAATGACAATAATTCTATATCCTTTTTTTCTATATGAATTTTACATTTTCTCCTATTTCAGTTCAGTTTCATCCTTTTCAACAGTGATACTTGTTCCTTTGGTAATGCTAACCTGACCAATGCTTCCCAGTCAAATAAATGAGAACACTTTTACATTGAAAATTTTATAAATATATTAATTATTTAAATATAAAATATATTATAAAATAACAATATAAATTAATTATTTTATAAAATTCACATGTGAGTGAACATATTCTTGGACATATTCCTGGACTACTCAGCTGCTTTTGCAGCCACATGACATATCATAAGACACTCTACCTACCCATTTTCCATAATTACCACACCATACTGATGGAGTTCAAACAGTAGGCAACAAATCATAGCAGAGCTGGCAAGCTACCGAGAATATCCCGCCCACATGGCAGAGCTTGGCAAGCTACCTGTGGTGTATTCGATACACCAAAAACAGTAACAATAACAGGTCTCATTCCCCTGACCCTGAAAGAGCCTCCAATATGGCAGCATTGAGAAAGACAAAGAGAGGCGGCTAAAATCTCAGGGTTGGGACAAATGGAGACATTACTGGCTCCCACTCGAGTAAATCAATGAACGGGATGACAGTGATACAGTGGTACAGTCATTTTAAAATAAAAGATTATATCTCTTGCACCCCAAAAAAGTGCTAAGATTTTAACTGCTGAACTTACACCTTAAGTAAAAATATTTATATGATTAAGCATAGATCAACCCTCCATATATTCATCTTTAAAATGCTGAAACCTAGAATCTCTCATTATTTAAACTTAATTGCAGTTAGAGTTAGGAAGTCAGACTGGCAAACTTTATTCTCTGGAATGAAGTAATGGATATCAAGGGAGAAGGTGAGAAAATGCATGAACAGCTGATGACAAAAACATTTCACTTCTGTTTTCCCTTTCAAGAACTTTTATAAAACACCAGGGGGTACTTGTTTCTAAGCTTATGAGAGAGTACATTACCAATAAGTGCTCAGAAAATGTGCTCTCCAGTGAAGTTCTCATAGAATATAAATTATTTTCCTCACCAACAAATATTCTCTGGTGTACTACTTGTAGTCGTGCTAGTCTAGGCTCTGACACTACCAATTTATTGCTGGAATCTGGTTATTTATTCAGTATCTCTTCCCAAGTCTCTTTCTCTTGCTCCGCCCACAACCCCCACAACAACCTACCTCTGATCATCACTTATCTGCCTCTTTATCTCTAGAAGGTACACAATATACTCGAAATTCCACCACATAATACTTCTGTTCAAGTTATTTAAGCTAAAAAAAGAACTTTTGCTGTGAGTGGTACATGTCGGGCAGCTTGCTTGCTCTATGTGTGGAATCAATATCAAGAGACTGCAGAGGATAAGTTTTTGGCAGTAGGGCATCTGATAATCGTTGGTCCTGGCAACCCAAGGTGGGGAGAAAGTTATTTAAACTATACAGATCTCAGATTCCTTTCAACAAATGGGAAAAGAATAGCTACATCACTGAACTATTTGAAGGATCAAGTAACACAAGAAGTGGCTTGTCTTTATTTACGTTTTCTTTGTACTATCTTAGTCCTTTCATGTGTATACACATACCACATAACTAAAAATTTCTGAACTTTCTCAGGAAATTTCCATGGAGTTTCTATGTCTGAAATGCCCTAGGTACCTTTCCCTGCATTATGTAATTCTGTCTCTGGTTAATTCTTCTCTCTTTGTTCTTTGTTCTCACTTTTCTTCTTCTGACAGTACTCTAATTTTGCAACTCTACTTTCTATGTCTCATAGTAGCATGTACCTCTTACACATAGACCACAACTGTGTCTTTACACTTTATGATTTCTATGGTTGTATGATCATATAAATGATTGCTTTCCCTAATCAAATCTCGGCAGAGGAAGGCATCATATTTGCTTTGTACAATATTATATTCCTGGCATGCTTAGTGCATGAAAGGTATAAAATATGTGATGTTTTTAAAACACTTCATTTTATCATTTTTCTCAGAATCACCATTTAAAATGTCATATTTTGGTGTATGTTGTGATTTTGGAAAATTTACTTTGTATCTCAATTTTTTCCTGTTATATATGTTGGTTTCTTCTACATATAAAAATATGTGACTCTCTGAGAGTTATATCAACTTCAGTAGATCATACTACTATATTTTCAATGATTACCCATACACCCCCCCAAAGAAAGATACATAGAGAGGGATTTTTAAGAGTAATTCAAAGAATCAAACTATTTCTCAAACACACTGAGCACAAAGCAAGGGAGCCTAATGAAAATTCACCAATTTTATATGTAAATTTCAGCCAATTAGTTTGCTTCACCTCATTCATGCCTTATTTCCAGGAGCAGCTTTATGTAGTTGCTTTCAGATATAAAATATGCGGTATATTTTTCATACTTTGAAAATAGGCGATTCTTCAAAATGAAAAACCAAAGCTGCTGAAATCTCACATTTGTCACTTCTTTTTTCAAAAAAGGAGTAATTTTAGAGATTCATGCATCAGAATGTAGAATTCAGAGTCCTAATGTCTAGTATGTAAGAGGTCTTCTGAAAGGAGCACGGATACAAGCATAACAGCAGTGCAAGCTCAAGTACAAATGCGAGCAAAAAGTAACATTTCCCAAACCTTGTTCAAATGGGTGTAGAGTGGTCTCAGAGAATTTCCTGAATGAGCTTTTTCTTTGTGCTCAATTCTGAAAGCTCTCTTACAGTTATAATACTCAGTGACTCAGTACCAATAGCCATCTTCGAAAGGGAACATGATTTCTGAGGTCTCTTTAAAGTTGTAATTAGGTTGCTTCCCCCATGAAAAACTAGAAGAAAGGGGTACAAGGCAGCACTCTCCTCAAAGTTGCTTTTGAAGAGTCTCCAGGCAGTCAAGTGTGCTAGAACTATTAAAAAGCATGTCACACTTGATGCAGTATTTGATGCTCTAGGTCTATTCCATGTAAGGAGAATAAAATGGAAAATTGCTTTCTCTTCTACACTGAACATTGACTTTGTACATGCACTCCATGTAACCTGTATTGCACTTAGAAAGATATGTGTGACATGAAACAGCATGAAAACAGAGAAGAGAATGAAGAATTAGACTGTCACTTAGAAATATAATTTCTGGAACTGAAAAGAGTTCAGGGCTTAAAGTATATGAAAAGTCTTAGCCCAGTTTAATCATTGGTACTAGATAATCCCACTGCGTGCATCTCTGCAGGCCTCTGAGCACTACTGGAATAACCCCAGGTAATCCCTGGTACCACATGGCCGGAGAAGCACCATTCTTCAGCACATGCATTGAACTATCAGCCAGGAATCATAAAGAGAGTCTCCCAGGCCTCAGAGCACTGTGAGGATGGGGGGTAGAAGGGAGAAGAGGAGGAGGAAGAGTAGGAGGAGGCGGGGGAGGAAGATTAAAGCCAGATACCCCTTAATGCAGCTCATATTAATTATACTGTTCTCATTGTCAGGAATAGAAAAATGTAATGGATAGTATAGAATGAAAATAGCAATAAAGATCTCAAAGGATGCAAACTAATAATCTTTGATTACTACAAATTGTCAAGCACCATTTTGAAAACATTTCTTGATTTTTTTCTTTAATAAATCAATTATGTACCATAATTATTTTAACCACTGTTTAAATGCAAGAAAACTGAGACATACTATAACAGCATACTGAGCTCATGCATAGTTATCAGCCTCAAAGCCATACTAAGTTTGACATCTAAGTCTAAGCTTTGTCTTCTACTCTATGCAATAAAAAGTTTTTAAAAAATGACAGACAATACATTTCTCATTATGTGAACTTGATGTGGTTGCACAGGGAAAAATGACTCTAGGGAACTTTCAACTCTTACCAGCTACCTCATTAACTTATAATCATATTTCAGACAGGGAATAATCAGAGTGAATATATCTAGTTTACAGCCATTATTATTCTACTTATTCATTTATTCACCAAAAACTATTAGGTAAACCTTTCCTCAAGGAGATGAAAATCCACTAGACTTGGTGGAAATTGGGAAAAGAAGGTAATTATAATGTAACCAACATATAAACATAACAGAAAATGTAAAGGACTTATCACATTAATTTATCACATTTCTCACTGCTGGGTTAGAAGTGATATAGGGTCAATGATGGAGTGTCTTTGGGCACTTTGATGATAGTAAGGTGCAGAAATTGGGTATTAATATCATTAACATTACACTTTTGTAACTATGCCACCTAATCTATAATAAAATTAAAATAAAAAACAATCACCTGTTTATATCCCTCAAAATAAGAATAAATGAACTATGAAAAAGAAAAAACTCCAGATCTCTTACCAAAGTCAAAACATTCTAATCTTAATTTGTTTATTACATAGGTCAGATCATAATTTAAAATGTTTTTCTTCCCATATATGTGTTGTAGAAAAGACAGGTAAAACAAATAATAGTGTAACTTAATTCTGAAAGCTTTGAAAGATACTTAAATTTCTACTGAAAGTGGCTTCTTAAGAGATAATATGGCAACTTAAAAAAGTGAATTCCCCTTCAAACAAACTGGAAAGTAATAGGACTGATGCTAATGGAACTACAGAGGAAACTAAATAGACTATAAAAGGTAGACTGCTATCCCAAGCACAAAAAGATGTGGAAAACCAATCTAAGGTAATTCAGTTCATCACAAAAACACATTGTCCAATTGGAGGTACTGTGAATAATACCTTAGCACTCATCACAATAGATGGGGATGGTCTTTCTTTTATTCCTTTATTCTGCAGCAATCTCTTTTGGAACTTTATTTGTATAGCTAACAATCTGAATGAAGAAGCTCCTCTGTAGAGCTGTGCTCCTTTATTGTTGCCAGGGAAACGGGATCTTAATTTCTAGCGACTGAATGCCAAAGAAAACAGACTATAGAGAAGAGGGAAAACTTGGTAGCACTGCATTTGCTGGGTATTTTTTTTGTGTTAACAATTCTTCTTTTGGTGTTCACAATTTAAAGTTGAACTGCAAGTTCTTTCTCCCTCACTTCGCTCTACTTGATTCAATTTTTTTTAACCAAATAGCAGTTTGATTTTCAGTTGATGCTGCAATGTAGTTATTATCATTCACAGCAATTTCATATTCAAATGTAAAAAAATTAATGAGTGTAGGTCCTCTTCAATTCCAACAGAGACAACACAAAATCATCCTTCTGACTGGTAGCTCAAATCAGCATAAGGAAGAAAGCCTACAGTTTCAATTTACAAAATTCTTCTTTTACCAGACCAAAGTGATTTATGTATGTGCTTTTGTGAAGTACTGTTTAATGGTTCACAACAGTGAGTATTTGAGTATTGTACTTGGAATGAAATAGAAGTAAAGTCAGATGCAAACCTGCTTGAGCTTAAAAGGGAAAAAAAGATAAGAAATTTACATCATCATTCTAAAATAAAAAAGTCTGTGCCAGAGAAATTGATTTAGAATCTGCCTCCTCAACTTGAAGGGTATTTCTAAAATGTCCTTCAAAAATATTTTTAGGGACATTAATATATGACTTTTGAGTCCCAGTCAAATTCTAGACCATAAATTTATGACAAAAAATTTTTTTAAAACAAATCAGAAAGAAATCAGAATAATGTTTTAAGAAAAAGAGACGAAAACTCTATAAAGAAAGGCAGTGTACAGAGGATCTCAGTACAGAGGTTTTTTTTTTTAACAATATATGGATTCTTTGAAATTTTTTTTTTTGCTATAAATAAATGGAACATGGTGCCTTTTAATATTGTCTTTGGTTTTGTTTCATCCACAGGATTGAGGCATAACCCAAACATGCTCTTTAAGACCTTAGTTCTTGTTCTTACAAAGGAATTTAACCTCTTTAAAATTTAAATCTTCATCTTTGAGTAGCCTTAGTTCCTTTGCCTTTTTTTTTTTTTTTTGGACTTGGTAGCACTCCCATGGAACCTTCAGGAAAACAAAAGAACCTAGTCTTTTCTTGTATTTGGAGCTACTGTAGCTAGTAGATAGGTAATCTAAATGAAATCAGCTGGGTCTCCTGGCAAAAATCCACAAAAGACAATAGGACAATAGAGTCTAAAATGCATTCCTTACAAGCAGGCTCCTCAGAGAAATACTAAAAGATTTATGAAATTTATCTTATGTTTGAGAAGACTGTTTTACTTAAGGAGAAAAAAGCTTCTCTGGAGGCCAGTGAAATAAGAAAAAGTGTGCACTTAAAAGTCTGACTTCCTCTCATTACTCCACTAGAATATGAATCAGTGAAAAGAAACATGTATACTTCAGAAATCTGAAGGCTGTAGGTGTGCTATTAAAAATAAATAGCTTGAAAAAAGTCACTAATTCTCTCTTAAATTTCTAAGAACTGAAAAACTTACATTGCCAAAAATAAATATCATGATTTTCATTGTATATTTGGCAGCA